AAGCAAGACATAACGTTGAAAAGAAAGAGGCCGAAGCACGACATAGAGCATACGATTGCTTGAAAATAAATTTGTAATTCATATTAATTAGCAAGTCAGAAAGCAAAACAGAAAGGATAAGAGATTAATGTAATTAAGGATAGGGTGACTAGGGATGAAAATACTTTGACAGATGACAAAAAGAGAATAGAAAAATGAAATAATGGACTTCCAAGATTGCTGTCGGACCAACCATGTTGTATAGACTACAGATTACCGATTGCAAGAATAAACATGTGATGTTATGTTAAAGCTGAATTTTCAAAACTGCTTGTAATAGTTTATGAAACTTATAAAATTAAAAGTTGTTAAAAATTAAACCTGGAAAAGGGTAAAAGTCAAGTGCACGAAGTATTCCCTTTGTGTTATTATTTTCGTTTTAATATAGATTTTTCTTTGTTTATTATTAGAGTGTTTGCAACCTGAAACTAAGATTTTCGATATGGATCCAAATATCTAGCGTCAAATTTGTACCAAAAATTCTTGGAAACAATACATTTGATATGACTCAAGAGGTTGTCTGAAATCATGGACATAACTTACTGTGAACATGAATAAATTTAAAACATCGTATGATCTTTGGAAACATTTATGTGTTTGATTTGGAGTGCTGAGGATGAAACAAAGAACAATGTGATAAAGTTATTAAAATTATGGATAATTTAAAGAGAGAAAGATATTTCAGTTTTGCTACGACATGAGTTGATGAAAAAAGGCTCAATGCGATTGTCAAAATGCATTGATTTTTTTTTCTTATAAAGGTCTGTATCGTGTTCATACAAGTACGGATTAGCTTCAAATAATATTTGTGTTTTGTGTATTTATTATCGAAATGAATTAACATATCTTGGTGAATTCGCCTTAACACATAGCAAATTAACAGACATATGTTGGTTTTCTCTCCTATGGCAAATTTTCTGTTCTCTTTTACTTCAAAAAAAAATTATTATGTCAATAATGTTAGAAAACAGATCTTAAGACTTACCGGATAGCAGCGTTACTTGCTGTAAATGTAAGATAATCTTAAATTAATAGTTGGTTTTTTGAAGTATAGTTTTCGTTTTAATAGTTTTCATTTCGTAGTTGTTACGAAATTGCATTCTTGCGTGTAAGATAAAGATTTTTTTCAATATTGCATTGATTGCAACAAGCAGGGAATTTAGGAGGCAAATATTGATAGTCGTAAAAACAATTGATTTTAAAAGAAAGTAATCAGGTAAAATACGCATATATTACTGTTTGAGAACACAAACAATTATCGACGTTCCGGCATCCCTGAGTACAAGGGGAAAATTTTATTTTGTGCAACAGATGGGTCACTTATAAACACTGTTTGTTATGATATATATATGGACCACAACACATGATCTCTGTGGTGTATCACACACAGAGAGATTTACAATTACGAAGATATTCTTAATATAAATATTAAAGCCCAGCAATGTGCTTTTAAAAGAGTTTAATACAAAAATAACGTACAAAAAGAAATATTTATTTAGAAGCGTAACGTTTCGTCTTGACTCTTAAGACAACATCAGGCAGTATTAAATTTCAAGTGTAGAGGCGTATATATATATATATATATATATAGGAAGTTTTGTTTATTTGAATCTCCGTAAGTACAGTAAGTATATATATATAATAGCTATTAAATTAATATTAAATTACATGGTGGGATGAAAACGTGAAAGTAAATGGGATAAAATGGTATGACGTGGGATACATAGAAATCAGGAAAGAAACAAAGAACACACAATCAGTATAAGTATACGTGATTAAGTACACATCAGTATAAGTATACAAACATGAGGACGGACGAAATTAGATTAAAGCAACAAAAGGACAATGGAGTTTCCTTGGACGTTAAGAGATGGTTTCACTTTCTTGATTAAGAGGCTTTCGTGAATAAGAAGCTCTTGTGAGTATGAGTATGAAGAAAGTATTTCAAAATCCTCGAGGGTGGCGATGTGTCCTGTGGATTTAAGGTGTGATAGTATGGAGGAATGACTGGGATGTTTACAAGGTTTACCAATCAAAGGAGTGATGATCAAATGCTCTGAAATTCGAGTGTGTAGGTGGCGGGTGGTTTGACCCACGTACGATGCGGAGCATTATCAATAAGTGAAAGAATAGACAACACTTGTATTTAGAGTATTGGACTCTTTGTCCTAGAAAGGAAACAGGCTGGACAGGCGTTTGGTGGATCGAAAGAAAAATCGTATTTCACAGTGTGGGAAAGCGGCACGACAAAGACGATTGATTTGTGTGCGGATTTGGGATGAGTGTAAACCAGTAAATGGTTTGGCTATCTTATACGAGTAATAATTTATACATTATAGGATAGGCCTTAGTAGTATGTTAGTTTTATGTACTTTAGGTAGTCCTTAGAGAATACCCATTCGTGGACCTGTTGGGTAGAGTTCGTCGTATTTTCTTTGATCAATTGACTTAGAAGTTTTTCAGGAGAGTCTTTACTTGGTTTTCTTGTTGTATGGTCAATTTGACGGGGTCTTGATTTAAGCGCACGAATTTTGAGTCGTCAGATAAAATTTCCTCCATTTTTTTTTTGTAGTCGTCTTTGTTTAAGATGACAACGCCGTTTCTATTATCGGGTTTCATTATGAAGATGTTGCGGTCGTTTCGTAAATCATTCAACGTGTTGATGTTTTTCCTTGAATACAAAAAGTTTAGAGGATTATAACTGCAAAAACCGGATTGTGCGATTTCTTTCATCCGAGTCCTTATGAATTCCGTGTGGAATCCAGAAGGCTCATAAATGGGTTCTTGCTTAATCTGGGAATATAACCTTTCAAAAGGCGTAAGAAAATGGCAGAAATTGAGTTTCGATGGTGGTAAGGCAAAGTTCAGACCTTTTGAAAGAATTTCTTTCTCCTTGTCTGTGATTAGTCGGTGTGAGAATTTAAACACTACCGTATTAGGATCTATCATGTTCGAGTTTTATTGTCGGCATTGAGGTGGAAAAGCATTTTGTTTTGTATACGTTGGTGATTGTTCAGTTTCTTGGAATTTTCGCAAAGTGTTCCTTAAGTGAATGAAATCAATTTTGGAGATGAGCGAAGCAAGGTTTCATGTGCTGTTGTTAGCTGTGCGAATAAGGTTCGTATTTTAGCGTGTTTGGCGTTGATTTCGTCATGTAATAATTTGTTCTGGCAATGGCGATAGGCGTTGGAGTTCCGTAACTTTCACGTTTTCATCCCACCATGTAATTTAATATTATGTAAATAGCTATTATATATATACCCCTCTATACTTATAATTTAATACTGTCTAATGATGTCTTGAGAGTCAAGACGAAACGCTACGCTTCTAACTAAATATTTCTTTGTATACGTTATTTTTGTATTGAATGGCTCTATTAAAAGCATTTCATATACAGGGCTTCCCGCCCGGTATATACCTGGTCACAATTAGGAAGATATTCATTAGGAAAATATATTATTCAGTTATTCGACTCTTCTCGACTACACTTATTTCATGGAATTATTGTACCTAAAGATAAGTTAAAAAAAAGAAAAGAATTAAAGACAAAGAAACACCAAAGTAAGCACAAGTATTGCACTGATTGTAGAGACTTTAAACGCTGGGAGTAATATAGGAAAGCTGAAGAGTTTGTAAACATTATGCAATGAAGAAAGGTGCGCATCTTGCGTTTCCAAGCAATTTGAAGGTATATTAGTCAGAATATACGCTTAGAAGCAGTATTCGAAGTGTTTTCTTTGAAGTTGATGGGGATTAACCCAAGTTATCTGGAAGAAGAAATTCGTTAATAATATTGAAAAGAGAAATGTTAAACATATTGTAGAAATTAAAGATGCTGTTTTCAACATAGTTAGTTGCTATGATCCACAGATAGAATGTGATGTAGAAGATAAGCAGACGTTCTTGAGTGACCAAAATAAAGTAATGAAGGTATTTGCAGACGTGAGATCGCGGTTATAAGTAAAGACGTCAATAGACTTGTCGGCAAATGAAAGAAAGATGATGAGCAGGAAGTGTTTAGGTTTGGTATTCAGGATGAAAATAAAAAGCAATAGATGACAGTAGATTTTGCAAAAGATTTTTTAAACACTTTCTTCAAACAGAGAAAAGAATATTGGGTTGTATTTCAGAGCCGAATTGTTTATTTAGCGTTTATCATAACACACGTGTTGTCAAAACAAAAAAAATAGCTACAAAGGAACGATAACTTTAGCGAGGACTCTATCTTTGAAGGTACTTCAAACTTACCCATTACTTTGTCCTTCTAGTAAAAAATCAATGGGAATAGAATTGACTTTAGAACAAGATACTAATCAAAAAATATTCAAACTTGCATTAACCTATTAAAAATGAAATAAAAACCAAATTAAATTAAAGCCGATGGATTTCCCTTCAAAAGAGCAGCTGTTGGATTCTTGTAATAAAGAACATTATGTAACTATGTAGAACACGCATGCGTGTGCACTAAATATACAGTATCTAACTACTTAAAAGAACAATGGTGAGGAATTCTATCAAAAACTTTTAATATCAGTGCGAAAGAATTTCAAATAAAAGTAAAACCAGGGAAGGAAACAGTTTCATTTTACGAATCATTGAATTAAGTGCCTTTACAATGAAATCAAATATGCTCGTAACACAAAGGGATAATTTCATTTTATACCTAGTTTACTCTCAAAAATATATTGCATGACAAAATATAGGTTATATACAAAAAAGATTTATGTGACAATAAAACAAAGGTAATTTTAGTAAACGTCAACCTCCGATGTTGATAGATTGGATTGCATAATTGAGTAAGTTATGTCACACGGTTGTTTCTCAGTTTTCTTCAATTGTAAAGGAAATATTCCGACTCTGTGAGCAATAGAATGATTTGAGCTATAATTATGTATTTTATTATTTTTGTCTCACTCAACCCTGAACCCATTGCTAAATGTACAACTTTTTGTCATTTTTAGAATTGCAGGGGCTACCATTTGAAAAGAAAAGCCAAGATTTTAGTGACAGTGATAAACCTGATATTTACGGTAAATAAAACTCATTCTTTGTCGCTCACAAATTATGAATCTCATACTTTCGATTAAGATTACTCTTTATATAATAACTAATGAATTATAAATCTATGCAAAATAATGACCATCCAAGAGGTAAGGCAAAACATAAGTTAAATGTGTTTTACGTTACGCATTTACGTCTCAAAAGACCTAATGTCATTAATTGTTAATAATGGTAATTACAATATGTTTGTATGTATATAGTCACAAAGATGCGTATTTAAGTGTTCATTGTCAAACTTTACAAAAATTCTAAAATGAGCCTGGTTTTTCATGTTCATTTATACATGGCATAGTATTCAATCTTCAAAGAAGCTTCCACTAATGTAAATCAGAGCCGTGTCAACGTTGTCTCACTTTTTATACAGCTACCCTGTAATAAAGTGTTTTAAAACATGTTTTGTTAATGGATAGTTATAATATAGCTTAGATAGGGAATAATTGCTAGACGCATTTTATTCTGTATTTGTGTTGCAGAGTAACTTAGTGGTGCAGGTTTTTCTCTGGCTTTATATGATAAAATCCTTAGTTCAACTTGGAAATCCTCGCACCTAGAGCAATATTATTGCATGCTTTTATATACAACCATAAGAAATTAACAGTTGGCATAAGTTCATTGTTTATTTTAGGAACTTGTTTCTTCAATAGTTGTTTTTACTATTGGACATTTTATTTAATTCCATTGAAATTTTTCAATAAAGGCCTGTGAACATACTTTGATTTCGTCTCACACATTTTGGTATTTTTTATCTATTGCTTTTCAAGTCTCCTTTCCAGTAATTTCTGCCGTTTTAATATCAAATACATTTTAATATTTTTCACTCATCGCTGCAGAACGTAATGAATTGCTATAGAAATGTGTCGTGGTTTACCATAACTTGGTCGAGAATTCTGGAATTGCAATCACATTCTTTGTGTACATTATCCATGAAGCTACGACTAATGGGTTTATTTTTTTATCCTTTAATAACCACATAGAAAAACGGCCTCTTTTACGCCAGAGCAAGCTTCAAGCATTCCTTCTTTATTTTGGAAGTAAACAAACGAGAGGTAATGACTTACGAGGGGATTATCTCATGCAATTTTCTAAACTAGTATCATCACTTTAAATGGCCGAAGTTCAAAGGGCTACCTAAAACATCCTTCCTTGGTTTTTAACTTGATAAACTAAGTCTACCATAGTTACTACTTTAAAAATCAATGTTATTATGACTAAACATAGTAACGGCTTAGACATGGACTTAAGATGATTACGATCTTCTTTACTACAAGTTATTGTGTGTTTTAAAATGATGAACTTGTATAGGACAGTACCCTTTTTGAAGTTTTTTTAAAAAACCATAATATCTAACTGCAACAATTTTGTGATACGTAAGTGTTAGGGCTCGATAAGAACTCACTTAGGCTTCAGAACATACACAAAGTCATGTGGGTGACAGTTTTCAAGTATATGTGCCTCTCAAATTGCTTCAAAATATATAATAAAAGATGATACGATGGTATTTACATTCTTGAATTAGCGTAGCCAAAATTTACGTGCCAACTCTCATTATATTTGCCGTGATGTTAAATTTTTTTCACTACAGTATATTTTTTACATCATACTTTAGGCCACGTGAAACCATGGGGTAAAGAATAAATTATCCCTTTTGTCACCCATTCCTCTGTTAGTAGCTGTGCATAGATGAATGTAAAAATAAATTATAGCACTCAGTAAAAGCCTATTATGTACTTCAGTTTAACAATTTTTCATTGCATGTTATTAGAGTGCATGCAAGAGCAACTAAAGTTCTTTGAAATGGATGAAGATATTTGTCAAGAAGTTTGTTTAAAAATGCTTGACAACTATAAAGTTGAATTGAAACATATGAGGTTGGGTGAAAAAATGAACATAACCATTGAGGACATGATGAACAGTCAAACGACTTACAATTCTTTTGAAACACTTATTCGTTGTTGGATAAACATATGTGATTGTGGAGAATTTTCTATGAAAGGTCAGTTTTTATGTAGTTTGTCAACATATTTCTTTAGTGAATTCCACTTTCAATATGATTTGTATTGTTGAAAATTATTTGAACAAAGAATTATGGAAAACTAATGGGCAGAAAATATTCAACTGAATTTCATGATGCATAAAAACCCTGAACGGTTGAGAAAATCCAGCTTAAGTGAACAGTGCACCAGATCTTAAAAAATCTTTCGTGGAATCGGTACTTGGACTTCCAATTGTTCCTCTGACCGAAATTTGGTCGTATTTGAATATCTCGATGTTAAGCTAAACTAGCATTGGAGGATGTAAGATAAAACATAACAACAAGTGAATGTTATCAGTGCATGTTATCTCAATGCTTTAAAAAAATTCGTCAAGATTTTTTTAATCATATTAAATCTTTCTGAAAGAGGGTTTAAATATTTCAACAACCAAGACAAGAAGAAATAAATAATGTTTCCGTTATTCAAAGTGGTGATTTTCATTTACACTTGACAATCACTTGTATGAAAACATTTGTTGTTCAATATTCAGAAATAGTTGATTTATCAATTTTACGAAAATTCACTTAATTGACTTCATGAATAAAAATAATTAATAAATCTTTTAATGGTTGCAAATGTTTTCTACGAAATATACACTTGTTATGCAAATCTTTTGTGTAATTGGATAGTACAACCCTTTCCTATGCATTAGATTTTTTTTGTTTCTCTCATTCCGAAATGTAATAGTTTTCAATGTCCCTTCAAGCTTTAGAAGACAGTGAACAGCAAAGCCAACAAATAAGTGACCATAATCAAGACAATGACAGCCAAGGAATTATGGGTAAATAGAATTCATCATTTCCGCTTTTAAATCATAAACTAAGAAATTACGTTTGAACCGAATACAAAGATATAAGGCTGCATGGGGGCAGTAGCAGATCTATGGTCGGTCACAATACATTATTGAAAATATACTTCCATTATAGAATACTTTGGAGCGAGTCCTTTTTTTATTTACATTCAAATATATCAACATATTATAGATTAAATGCAGCAAAGGACAGTCTTTCAGTTTTCGTTTTTTCCATTATTTCGCCCAGAATTTATCAAATAACCTTGATTATATAGTATCCAAAAAGTACGTAGGGCTAGGAAACAATTTAAAAGCCATCAGCCAAATATAGCTTTTTTCTAAGATCTCTTGTTAGTAAATAATTTAACGAATATTGCTAAAACCCCATTTGAATTATTAATCGATGTAATAATGTAAATATTACATATAATAATATGGAAACTATAAAAAGACATATTATGCATATTTATATATTTTAATTTACGGCATGAAATTCTATTGCTGTGTCAAATCTTGACGCTTCGCCTCACATGAAACAATTTACATTTTTGCATTCAGCTTGGTCAAACTCTGACACTTTAAAGAACCTTTATAATTCCCTCTATGGTATTTGACTTTTTTATATTCTGCAAAATCGACTGCATAACTGCGAAAGCTAATAAACAGGTCTTTAAAATCAACTTACGTACATTTAAAATTTACGTTATTCACGAATAAATATTCTTCAAGGAGGCATAAATATAAATATAAAGAATTCCATGCTTTCAGTTTGATATATACGCCTCCTTGGTAGGTTTTGTGTAATTGGGTGGTTTCCGTTGTTTAATTTGGTGTTTTTATGTGCTGTGTGACTAGTTGGTATATGATGTGTAATTAATTGGTGTGTGTTTTGCAATTGTTTGGTATGTGTTAGGTAACTGATTGGTATGTGTTAGGTAATCACTTTAAGATATGTATCATTGTGTTAACAAGTATTTCGGTATCAATTACATTTAAGTCATTCAAATTATAAGTGATAGTTGATTTCAAAGATTAGAAGTTTTATTTTATGCGCCATGTAAAAACTATTCAATGGTTGCTGCTATACGTTTAGAAAAACATTTATGCATTTATTGTCCTGTTGGCATCAAGTCCTGTTCTGCACTTTGGTAATTCAAACTTCTTTCATGCATTTTGCTATCTCGTTCCACTCTCTCCTAAACAGAATATTTTAATGCATGTCATTTTATTTATCATTTTCAATTCATAAATCCTGGTATGCGACCCAAGATCTATTTTTAGAAGAATAACGTCCTAATCTTATCAAAATTATCAGGGTCTTGGGGTATGAAAAAACAAGCTGTGATTTAAATGAATTCTCAATATGTTTTTATATGTATTTAGTCATAAGCTTTACAAATATATTGTCAACAGTTAAAACTTCAGCAAATTTGTTAAACCTGTCTGGTTTTCCATGCATGCCATAAATATCTTAGAAATAGAATGAAATCTTTCTTCATTATTTTTGGGGGAGGGGTGACAAAAAAAATGATACCTAATGAAAGGAAAAATTTTCTGATCGCCATGACTCAAACAAATTATGAAAAAACCTTTGTTCAATTCTCAATCAAAGGCAACTTTTCTTATGCATTTTGTAGTGTTCTTTTCTCACACCTCTAAATGTAATATTTTTATGTCACTTTAAGAATTGCTGTTGAAGCCGTTGATAAACAGGCTTCGCGAAAATTATTTTTAATTTTAGCTTTAGCAATTTGCAGCTCTAATCTTGTTTTTAATATCCATAAACCTGCTTCAAAAAAATTTTTGATGTAAGAATTAATCCTTCATTTTTTGTGGATAGACGCTTCTTATGGGCGGCTAACCACTATGCTACCGCCACTGAAAAAATGTCTAAGTGTCTGTCGTGTTCGTTCCTATCCTTGGATAAAGTCGGATGTACGAACAATCATGAAGTGCAGTACTGTTAAGTGCGTGCTTAGCTTTCTCGCGAAAATATCGTATGTTGTTTTCCTAAAGATTTCTTTTCCATTTCATCGATTGATCGCCAACGGTCATCTTTTAGCAAATTTTGTAATGTAACATAATTTGCAAATCTCTCGTGAGGCAAAATAAATTTTGTGCATGTATTGGGTTTTAGTGCAATTTTATCATTCAAGTGATTTAGTTTGCTATATTTTGGTGTTTTTTGATCTTTATTGTTTATTAGGATTGAAAGTTTACAGCAATGAAAAAAGTAACTTCGTAAAAGCGCTATTGATATTGCGCATTTAGTAAAAACGACAAGTTTGTTTAAAATAAACATAAAATAAACGTTCGGGGAATGGCAAAAAAACAACGCCACATTTTCAAAGATTCACGTTAATCGCATTAAACATAGCTATAATACCATTGAAATTATATTCATCAAACTGCTTTCTTTTGTGGACCATTTATTTGAAGGCTATCCATATGTATGCACTGCGCTCCTATTTTTACCTTTTAGGATGCAGGAGTTCTTTTATACGTTCCATAAATCCATAAACACTATACTTCATAGCAGTAATCTTATTTTGCTATTGCACTTGCAGTCTTTCAGGATTATGTGTTGTGTAATTAATTGGTTTTGTTGTGCAATGGCCTGTATGGGTTGTGCAACCTCGTTTGTATTTTTTATCAATAACTTAATGACTATTTGGGCATCAATTATTGCTGACTCATCAAAATAAATCATATTTGTTTTCAAAGATGAGCAGTTCTATTTGCTACAACATGTAACAATATTTAATGGTTACTGCTAAGTTTTTAGAAAAACTTTCATAAAATCGATGTCCTGTTGGTAACAGGCTCTGTTCTGTAATTTGATAATTCTATCTTCTTTTATGCATTTTATTATTTTTGTCTCACTGACTACTAAACCGAATATTTTTATGTCATTTTAAGAATTGCAGATAAATCCGCAGAAATTCATTGAAGAACAAGTTCTAGACTCTAATGATCACGACAACTTTAACATTAACGGTAAATGAAATTTATGTATTGTCAGTTTTATCAACTTTTCTCTTTATATTTCTTCAACTTTGCAAAGTTTTAAATTCTCAACTATTTATTTCAACAGTTCACCCCAAATAAGCTTATGATTTTGTGATTTTTTACACTTGACCATTCCTATAAGCACCAATAAATGCAAGCTGTTATACTGCGCAAAAAGTAAAAAATAAATGTTTTCTGTTTTTCCAGCTAGTTTATCACAGAGAGCTCCCTTTGTAAAATTTTACTAGCTAATACAGCCATAATACAGATTTACATATCAAGGGCTGTAGTTAGTTTATATGGATATTGTCATTAATCTATTTTAATATATCTTTTCTAGTTTAAACCTTAACGAATTTCAACTCAAATAATATTTTTTATATTCATAAATCTGCTTCAAAATATAAACTTTTTAAAGAAAATTTATTATTCTTAATTTTTTTTATTTTGTATGACAAATAAAATAACTGGTCAAACTGGAAAGTTTAATCTCTATACAAAATAAAGATTGAATAATTTCAACTTTCAGTAATTTATTTTTAGTATCGAGAATAGCTCATTTAGAGCATTTCTCTTTATGCACAGGTTATTATGCGTGCATCCCATTGTTTAACATATCACGAGAATCAAACTTAAACTAAATTATGCGCAGATTGTCATTAGGAAAATGAAAACTACCTGACCTAGAATCGCTTTCTTTCTGAATTGATAAATATTTTAACAATAATTAGTTGAACGAAGAAGAACTTCAAAGGTTCATGCACAATTTTTTAAAGCCCACTTGACAATAATGTACATATGTCGATTTTATAATCAAGAATTAGATAATTAGTTATTCTCTTATAATATCAATTTTTCTCATTTAAAGTAAATTGATGCCTCTCTTTCAAGAGAAGTAAGGAGGATTTATCGTTCCAGCACCACCCCCACCCTCCAACCCAAAGGCTTTATGAAAGTTTCATTTGCGCTAGAGACGGAGAAAATATACTTACCATAAGTTTAAATCAATCTTTGCTAATTGTGGTGGGATCCGTGGGCTTATCAATGACATAGCTATAATGGAGTGCTAAAGGCCATCGTCTCTTGTGATAGTTCTTATTCCAACAAAATTATTTTCTTTTACTTATATCACAATGTTTAAACAACAGTCATAACCTCCTTCAATTCGAAGAGCAGCAATTAACAGAAAATCTTGGCTACGCAATTGCGGGTTTATGTTTCTTCTTATGAAAATATCAACAACGTTAAAAACTACTTTTGCTGAATTTCGACATTGCAAGACATGTCAATCTTTTTCGTTTGACATCATTTATGGAGGTGGCACTTGGTGAGTAAAATATGGCGCCCCAATGCGATATACTATGTACTTTGTGATAAATACGAAAATTGTTTTCGTTTTCCCGTATGAATCCGTAATTCTGTTTTACACGCAAAAAATGAAACTGACAATGAAAATTAACAAATCTAACAAGAAACGTACGACAAAACACATGCAATCACATGCATTGTAGGTAGACTTAGCTTTTAAAGACTAAACGTGAACTGAAATTGACAATAAATTGTTGGGGAAAAAGTGTATTAAAACGAGAGTGGAATAAAACCAACACGGCCAGTTTCCCCAAAATTGAAGAGACTGATGTCGTGCATATTTGTAAATGGTATATTTAATCATGAATAATCAATACAAGTAACGTGGACAGCCAGTGAGTTTGGTCCTCTTATATAAGGTTTTCTGTGCTAAATCATTGCAAAAGCAAAAAAATTCAAAACAAAAGAACAATGATGACGTTATAAAATTTACATAGCAGGACAAAAACTTGTGATGCAAATGATACAAATTCCGTGTCTGCGCTACGGATTACAAATCACACGTCAATTGATTCAATGGTTGGACAAATGGCATCGATGTAGCGAGTAAGCGGTTTTAAGACACAATGACAATTAATTTGTCTTAAATTATACACTATAAGTAAGTCACTTTACATGATTTGAACACGTAATGAACAATCCCGTAACATATAATCAGATCGGAAGACATAAAAAGATATCTTTTGAATCTTGACAATATTAAAGATTAACTTTTATGTCATTTGACATATAATACCACTGGAATCATATTCATCGATCTACTTCATTTTTTTGGCCTTTTAGTTGTAAGCTATCCACATGTACGGACCAAGTACTTTTTTTATCTTTTTAAGTACCAAAAGTGTCTTTATTTGTTCAATAAATCCATAGACACTATTATTTTTACAACATTTGGCAACAATGCAGATATGTAGGTTTTATATAATCAACATAAACCTATGGCAAGCATTCTCTTTGACTAAAAATCTTGTCAATTTAGTATAAAGTAAGGAGGCACTGCCTCTCTTTTGAGAGAAGCATAAGGATGATTTACCTTCCCTGTCTCCATGCCCAAAGGCTTTGTGAAAGGCTTATTTATGCTAGAGATGAAGGAAATATACTTACCATAAATTTAAATTAATCCTTTTTAATTTCAACTGTGGAGAAGGCTCTTAGTAAGTATTGTATGGCGTCATAGTGCGTGGGTATTTTTCTTTTTTCGTTAGTAGTTTTTAGTTTTACCTGAGCAAAAGACGGAAAAATTACTGTTTTACGCTTTAAAAACACCTTATAAATAAATTTTAATCAAAGCATGATATTTAACAAATACTTCACAATGACAAATAAATAATGTGACGTAATTTTTCCTATAAACAAAACTGTTCCTGTGTTTATAAAAAAAAATGATGTCATGGCCTGTTTCTTTATTCATTATTGCAGATATTGATCATTCTATAATGGAATTGGCGCTAATTCCATAAAATATTGAAAAAAAACGTACCATTTTCGAGTTGCGCCAACAATTTACTCCCCTCTTAGAGTTTAAGCATAGACGCAGGCTACTTAGTATGTACCCTGTACCTATTTTGGGAATGCATGTGTATTTTGGCAATAAGACTTTTTCAGTTGCTGCATCACCGTAATAATATAATTTTTAAGGTGCTTTGTGCATGAAAAGTAATATCACCTTTGCCAGCAGTATCTCTCAAAGACAAACAAATTTGAACTGATTAATTTGTTCAGATAGGCCATCAGCATTACTGAATGTCATATTAATAAAATATAATATTGACATTACAGATAATTGATTTTTAATTACCAAAAGCAGTGCAAGTTTTATTTTCTACAATTGCTACACGCAACGCAATGAACACATGTATAAACACATGCAAATAAGAAGTTGCATGCATGCATTTTTAAAAGTGGAAAGAATGGCCTGCTTAATGTGTTCCAAAGCACCATAACTTTAGTAAGTTTTTAGACATAGCATCCTTATTAATGGACTATAAGAGTTCCTCTTTAATATTTATTGGGACGTGGTTAATGGTATGAAATGCAGTTTACTAATATTAACCTAGAGCTGTTAGGAAACTGAAGAGTATTAAAAACATTGTGGGAACTCGTTGTACAAAATGACGTCACAAGTTGTATAAATTTGAATTAACAAAAACATCAAAATCAAGAGAATAAAAAGAGATATGCATTAATGTTTTAGAAAGTAAACTGTCATTTCAAAAGTTCTAGTCATTTCAAACATAATTTAAGTTGCAAAATTGTTGCTTCATTGTCACTTTAAGTAATTGTTTCTGTATATTAAATTTTGAAGGCAATTAGCTAAGCTTACCAAATATGTTATGTGAATGAACATTTAATTTATATGAGCACTTTCCTAGCGGATGAATGGACATGAACATTTTACAGATTCATACATTGTTGTGATCCGCTTGTATTGTTGTCGCATATATGCAAGCAGTGTTGAGCTTAAAAAAGAACAATTTAAACCAAAATTTACGAAGGAAAAATATGTATTGACGAAGTGGCATAGTAAAGCAAAGTTTAGTCAAACTATGCTGTCATTGACACTTAAATTTCAGCATTGTTTAAAAATATGATGTTGTTTCGACCAATCATTTTCGAACTAAGCTGCTCGGATAGGCCGTCAGCATTAGTGAATGTTATATAAAAAAAATTTTATATGGAAGCTTGAGCTGAACGAATTTCAATTATTTAGCAGTGCAAATTTCATTGCATTTACTACACTCAACACGGCAATACATGAAATGTAATTAAACAAGAAAAAATAATGTATGCATGCAGTATATTTAAAGACAAAAAAACGCTTAAGTAATGCGTTTGAAAGCACCAAGACCGGAGTATTTTTAGAAAAATATAAATGCATATGATGTCACCTTGGAATCAAGTCCTACTCTGTATTTTGATATAATTCAAAATTCTTTTATGCTTTTTAAAATTCGTATTTTACTTTCTTGTAAACAAAATATTTTTATGCCATTTTAAGAACTGCAAATGGAACTGTCGATAAACAGTGAAGAGAAAGTCGAACACTGTAGTGATGATGAGGACTCTAAAATTAACGGTAATTGAAATTTGTGCTTTGTCTGTTTTAAAGAAGGGAGTGCTCAATAATCCCTTCTAGTTAGAATTATTTTTTAAGGTAGGAGGTGCAACTCTTCTCTTTATATTGATTCAACCTTGCATAATTTTAAATTGCGAAGTATTCATTAAAATGAATCAGCTCAAATTTGCATATTATTTCGTGATTTTATTCCATTGATCATTCCTATAAATACCAATAAATGCAAGCTACACAAAAAGAAAAAAAAATGTTTTCCATTTGTCCTTAGTTTATGACAGAGAGCCCCCTTTGCAAAAATTTTGGTAATACATCCATGATAGTGATTCACATATGAAGTGTCAGATTTAATTTTATTTGGATTTAATCATTTTTCATTTTTTTTATTTTGGGCGACCAGGAACTGAATGATTTATATTTTTTCTCTGTTTACTCAAAAAAATGAATATCGACTTCATTTGGTTTTCAATCAAAATAACACCCCTCTCTTAAGTTTGACATTGTGATATTATTTGTTTGGAATATGGTGTTTTATACATCGGTTGATACATAAAGGATGCACAAAGTAGGGTGGGGTGAAATGATATCTTTATAGTTTCTGAATAAAATCTAAAAATCGGTCCAGAAGCATGCACTAAACGGAAAGAATTAAAAAAACATGATTCGTATAAGAAAATAGTTAAATACTCTGATAAAAACGTCGATATGAGCACGCAAAAACAAACATATTTCATTTCAGACAGGAATGAAAAACTATTTCAGCAACGCTATGCAATCGGTTTAAGAGTGCCTATATTACCTATAAGATTTTTATGGTTTTAATAGAGCATAAAAAGTTACTAAATAAGTTACTAAATAAGTTTCAAGTTCCAAATGTTGGGGTACAAAGAAAACAAACTGTTTGACCGTTTGATTTGGGAATTTTTTGATTTTATTATATTAAACATATAGATAACACTTAACCGTTGTCTATACAGTTATAAGTGAGTTTAAGATTTAACAGCTACGTTAAACCGTTACCTTTGCCGAGAAAAATGGACTGGGATGAATATTAATGCGCATGCCTGAAATGCAAAGTTTTACCGCCAATATTCTACGATGATTAGTTTTGGAGCTGTTGAGCGTAGTGAATACAACGGTTAAAATCTCGATTAAAATACTGGCATTTCGAAGCGTGTTTATGTACAAATATGGATTGGTAATGATGTAACGAACAGGTAAGGAGAATATTCATAATTATTTTTAAGTCAAGTATTCCGAAGAGTTGAAATTAGTGTAGTTGATGTTATGAATCATACAATATGTGGCTGGCTATATATACTTCTCGTATCTTACGACATATTTATTTATGATATTCATATGCTTATACTTTATAGTTAACCGTCGCGAGCACCACACGTTACTTAAAATAAACAACGGTTAAATTTCGCGCGCACAATGACCGTACTCGCCTCAGTTTACCAATTACACGGCCACCGTAGCCGTTAATCGTAGCAGTTGCATCTTAAACTCTCTCATTCAAACACGTAGATCTGAGTTGAGTTATGGTCTATTTATCAAATAAATATCATTCAACCGTTGTCTATACAGTTATAGATACACGGGTATGACGTCATTTGTGGTAAAAACTAAAATCACACTCGCCCCGAAAGCTCGTAGCCACTTTTTTAGTTTTTATCACAATTGACGTCATACCCGTGTATCTATAACTGTATAGACAACAGTTAAATGTTATTTATTTGTTCTCTCAACATCGAGATTACTGGTTTCAGGTTTACGTTTTTGAATTGCAATAACGAATTGCTGTTTGATGCAAGAAAATGTCGCTGCTGTAATGAAATACCGAAGAGCATTCAACCAGTCATATATTTACAACTTGAGTACGTGACATACGAGCATATGCACACACAAGAGCCTAATTTTTCTGGCAACATTTGATGTCGTTTTAAATGTTTCATTTTCTATTACATATTCAGGGCAGCCGTACGAGCCCTTGTTAAAGCTAAATAGATATTTTGAGCTTTACAGGGCGACCGTTTAGTAAAATAAAGCAATTTCCCACACTAGTTACCTCAATTGTAATTTAATTTACGTTAAATAACAAAGGACGTGTTCCTGACTCCCCGTCCGTTAACAAGACTTTTTACACCTATCCATTTTTAAAGCTTTAATTTTCAAAAACTATTCAAGTAAATCAAAACATGTTTTGAAAATTATTAAGTAACTTTTTATGCTCTACTCCAAACCATAGAAATCCTGTAGGTAACATCGGCACCTAAAGAAGTCGTGAGAAAAAGATAGTTCAATTGTAAAAGGGTAACCAGTATATATCAAGACTTTCATGCTCATTTTAAAACCCGTTTTTCAATGTAAGAGTTACAAAAAGGTTTCTTGGCAAGAAAAAAACACAAAACCGTTAAAAATAATTATTGCCTATATGTTGTTAATCACATCCAATTATTTCGATAACATCCTAACTGCTTAGAAAAAATTATCAGCCGCTGAATAGTCTTGCTGTACGTAGTGTTAAATATATAATTGCATCCATGAAAACTATTTTTTTTAAATGTCTTACAGCATTTCGTATGTTGTGTTATTGCGTAATGATTTGGTGAATATGGACGGCAACTACTAGAGCACCTAATTATGGTGAATTTTTTCGTGTCTTGCTGCAACTTATGAGTTAATATTTTTATGTCTTTAAAAATATATTTGCATTTACGAACGAGGACTGAAAAATGAGCAAATAGTTATCAAAAAAAAGTATACCAGAAAACTACTATTTGAAGAAAACCAGATGATGTGAGATAGCAGAGAGCTGATATGCACTGTAAGATATCCGAAACCGCTTATCATTTAACAAATATGATTGTACGTAAGTAAATTCATTGAAATTTATTCATGGTTTTTAGTTGCAATAGCGTTGCATACTTTTTGTATAAAGAGGAAAACTGCACTTCCTTTTCATTTGACAATTTTCAATTAAAGCTATTAGTTGATTGTAGGGGAAACTCATTTCCTAGCTGCATGAGAAATTAATTTTAAATATTTTTTGCTTTGTTTTTATCAGAAAATTTTTCATCATTTTAAAATTAAGGCTTGCCTTTAGAAACTGCCCTTCGCTTTCAGAAATTTCGCTCGCACTGACAAACTGACAGCTTTTTCATCAATTACAGACCATACAAAAGTCGGTCTTAAAACGACTAATTTTTTGGGATGTTTTCTCTTGATATAGTGGCAATTACGTTTTACTTGTAAAAATGATAAATTAAGTTTATCCATGATAGATGAGAACAATTAATAGTGAAAAAAATTAGTGGCAAAAATATAATCGTTTTTGTTGTCTCTTACTCGATAAAATATAAATGTTAGGCACTGGGAATATGTTATAAAAAACTAGATTCGTTTTTGGTATAGCTTTTCAATCTTACAAGATTTGACTGCATTATTTCTAACATGTTTCTTGCTAATCTATTTTTACCAAAATATACAGTTGCTATTTAATCCTGGGTGAGCTAGGGGGGGGGTCAATTTTTTCACGTGTATTTCATTTCATTTGTTTCACTGACTCTTAAATGCAATATTTTTATGCTTTTTTCTAAGAATTGTACTTGGAACCGTTGATATCAGGTCAAGAGCAAAGTCAATACTTTATTAACAATCAAAACGCTAAAATTGACGGTAAATATAATTCATGCTTTGTAAATTTTTAATCATAAATCTTCGTAAGAGCTTAAGTAATGTGACGTAAGATCTATTATTAGAGGAATGACGTTTGAACTTAAGCAAAAAGGCGAGGGTCTAGAAGGTAAAAAGAAACAAAAAAGCTGTGATTCACATGAAATGTTATAAATAGGTTTATTTGATATAGTTATCATACTTTTTTATGTATTTTAAATCAAACTTTAGCAAATTTCCTACTCAAATCTTTGTTTTCATGTCCCAAAACATGCCTCAAAAAGTAAAGATTTATAAAAGAATGTTTAGTCTTTCTTTATTTTCTAATTTTAAGAAACAAAGAAATAGATGAATAATTAAACTTGAGAATTTTTAGACTTTTTACTCGAACAAAATTAACATTGAATTATTTTAATGTTAATCCAAATCTACACCCTCTTGTACAGTGCACATTGTAATGTTATTTCTAATATCGACAATAGTATCTTCTGTTTGTTGTCCAATTTAGTAACTAACGTTTCCTTGTAAAAAAATTCTTAATGAAAATGTTTCATAAAATTTCATTTCAAAATGTTCAAAAAGTCAAAATTATAAATGCCTACCACATTCAATGTTATTCTTTCTTATATATATATACTTTTTCTTTGTTTTTTATTAGTATGTCTGCAAGAGAAACATGGGTTTGTTAAAATGAAATCACGTATCTATAGCTTCCATTATATTTTTACAACAAAAACTAGGCAACAACGATGTTAGAATGACATATGTGAATTTGGCTGGAGTGGTTGACTCTGAAAGCTTAGAAATGGCACGTCTCGAACAATCACCAAAAACTGTTCTTCGCCATTGGAGTGCTGAGGATGGCAAGAACAATGTGATAAAATTATTGAAAATTATGGACGATTTAAAGATAAAAGATGTATCCATTTTGCTACGAGAAGAGTTGATGAAAAAAAAGAGTGAATGTGGTTGTCGAAAATGTATTGATTTTTTTCATTATAAAGGTTAGTATAATGTTCTAGTCCATATATTGTCTCAATTAATGCAGTTGTTTATATGTTATTATCGTGTGTGTTACATATATGTCTGCATTCCACTAACTACGTACTACATAGTAAAGGTGAAGTCACTTGATGCTTTACATGTTGTTATTTATAGTTTGTTTTAATGTATTTTATGTTGTTTTTATTGCTGAAAAATGTAAGCAGATTGGAAGAATAATGTACTAAATACGCATGCACTTAATGACAGACTTTAAAAGGCAGAATTTTTAATATGAAACTGATGTAATTGGAACAGAGATTAGAGCACACAGGTGATACACATTTCCAGACTTTAAAAAACGAGCTACACATACTGCTCTGCTAATGGAATAACCATGCTGACAGCACAGAATAGTGATATATCATAAAAAGTCAGTAGAGTGTTTAAAGTGATGAAATTAAAGTGGGACAGTATTGTGTGACTTTAAAGAAAATAATAACGGGCAATAGGCGATCAAAATGTACTGCTAGGTGACTACATGAAAATATAATAAGGAAGAAAAGTAGAAAAGTACTTGAGGAATCTTTTAAAAGAAAATTAAATAGGTTAACTTGATCGTACAATAAAGAAGTTTAGAAGTACGATGCTGAGAACATTGAAAAGAGTAAATACGAGAACAACAAAGTAAACAACGATAGTAACGATAGCAAGTAACGATAGAAAAGAAAATGCGAAAGCCAGATATATATATAGCATGCAATTACTTGAAAACGATTCAATAATTCACATTGATTAGCTTCAGATTTTTTAAATTTGCTTGTCGTAGTTATCAAAAACCAAAAAGTGAAAAGCTTTTAGGAAACCAGTATAAGGGTAAAAATCAAGTGCATGAAGCATTCAGTTGATATACTTATTTTTGTTTCAATGTATTTTCCATTGTTTGTTATTAGACTGTTTGCAAGAGCAACTAAAGTTCTTCGATATGAATCCAAATATCTGTAATCAAATCTGTACAAAAATGGTTGGAAACACTAAATTTGAAATGACACATGAGAGAATTGCTGAAATCATGAACCTAGCTACGGGGAACATGAGAAAATTTAAAACATCCTATGATCTTTTGGAAACATTTATGCGTTGTTGGAGTGCTGAGGATGACAAGAACAATGTGATAAAGTTATTAAAAATTGTGGACGATTTAAAGATAGAAGATATTTCAGCTTTGCTACGACATGAGTTGATGAAAAAAAAGGCTCAATGCGATTGTCAAAAATGCATTGATTTTTCTTATAAAGGTCTGTATCGTGTTGAAGTGCATATGGTATCTTCTATGGTAAATTTTCTGTTTTCATTTATCTTGAAAACAATATGTTCATAAAGTTTCCGAAACAGCTTTTAAGACTTGACGGTTGGCTATGTTCCTCGCCGTCAAATCTAACATAATATTGTTAGGTTTTTAAGGCAATTTTTGGTTTTTAATAGTTCTCATTTCGTAGTTGCTGCAAAATGGCAGTTTTGTGTGTGAGATAGTTTTGTTGATTAATTTTGTGTTGATTTCCACAATCGAAAGATTATGTTGTGTGAGTGAGAGTTAAATGGATGGCTCAATTCAAAATCACTGCTTTTTATGTTATATACAGGGATCAAAACATATGTTCTCAGTTGTCTATCAGGCACAGAAAGATTTTCATTTGTAAAGATACTCAATTAAAAATGTGCTTCACCATATATTACCCAGATATACAACTCTTGTCGACTGCACTTATCCTTTCATTCTATTGTTGTGAAATGAAGGGATAAGTCAAAAAAGAAATAAAAAATTTTCATAGACAGAGAAATTAAAAACTGTACGAGTTTGGCACTGAGAGTATAGACTATGAATTTAGAGAGAATTTTAAGAAAACTGGAAAATTTATGAATACAATGCAAAGGAGAAAGGTACACATCTTGTTTCTCAATGCAACTTGATGGTGTAGTAGTTAGAATATACAAGCTTAAGATTAGGATTCAAAATTTTACTTTTAGTTGTTGATTGGTTTTAGCTGAGTTATCCAGAAGGAGACGTTTCTTAATATAAGTTTAGAGGTAATAGAAATATCAAAAATATTGACGTGTTTAAAGCTAGAAATTAAAGATGTTAATTTCAGCATTGTACGTGTTATGATCCGCTTATAGAATGTGATTTAGAAGATAAGGAGACGTTGTGGAGTGAGCTAGATAAAGTAATGTGGGGAATTTCATAAGTGAGTTAGCAGTGATAAGTAAAGACATCAATGAATTTGTTGGTAAGTGCAAAATAGATGATGAACAGGAAGTGCGTAGGTTTAATACACAGCATAAAAATAAAGAAGAATAGATAACAGTAAACTTAGCAGAAACTTTAAATGGGTGCATTGCTTTGTCTTTTTGGCAAAAATTAATGGGCAGAGAATTGGCTTTAGAACAAAATAGTAATCCCAAAAACAATTAAAAGTCACGTAGGTCTATTGAAAATAAAAAGAAGAATAAGGTAACTTAATGGGGGTGGATTTCCCCCATCAATCTCTCAGGGTCAAACTATGTAAAAGAACAGCCTGTTGGATTTTCATAAAGTAAATCATTTAAAGATGTAGGACATGTACTGAGATATACAATACATAACAATTTTTAGTACAATGGTCAAGAATTCTATTAAAATCTTTTGAAATCAGTGGGATAGAGGGTTTAAAAAAATGAAACTACGGAAGGAAACGCTAAGCATTTATCGAATTAAGTACTTTTATAATGAAAAAAATACTGTCGTACCACACGGTGACAGTTTTTACAGTTTATTTAGTATGTTCTCAAATTACATTGCATGACAAACATCATTGGTTTTATACAAAAAGAGCTCTGTGACAAATAAAAGACGTTTTTAGTAAAAGCTTAACTAAGATCTCCGATCTTAACAGATTGGATTGCATAATTGGGTAAGTTATGGAAAATGGTACAGCAGTTATTCCAACTCTGTGAGAAATGGACGTGACTTACGCTACTATTATGTTTTAAATTAACTATTTTTTTGTTTTACAATTTTCAAAACTCCTGAGTGTAAAACGTTTTGTCATTTTCAGAATTTCAGTGGCTCTCATTTGAAAAGAAAAGCCAAGATTTCAATGGCAGTGATAACCTTGATATTTACGGTAATTAAAGCTTATTCTTTGTCACTCACAATTCATAAATCTTGTACTTTAGTTTGGGATTACTCTTTATGAAATATTTGTCTGGTTTCTCTTGGTCATTATTACATGGCATCAAAATAAATCTTCAAAAAATATTCCACCAATAAAACTGTCTTACGAAAATCAAAGCTGTGTCGAAATTGTCTGATTTTTCATAAAGCTACCGTGTAATAAGACATTTTATCACATGTTTTGTTAGTGGTATTTATAGTACAGCTTGGCAATTTGTTTCACAGCAAATAGCTGCCTGATAATAAATCTTGAGCCAATTGGGCGGCATACTTTATTTTATGACATTCTGTATTTGCATTGCAGTGTAACTTATATGATGTAGGTTTTTTTCTGTCCCAATATGATAAAATCCTTAATTTAACTTAGAAATCCTTGCACTTAGAGCAATGTCATTAGATTTAATAAACTAGAATAACTGATGAAACTGGAAATACATTGAAATCAAATCTTTCCAAAAGTCTAAAAAGATTTTTAGAATGACGCAGGGGCACCAACCAATCATTCAATACTTATTATGAAATTCCTCATCGTAGGAATCTTGAGGAAATCAAGTGAATGCACATTACTAAAGATGTGTGTATAAACAAATCATTCATTAAAATTCGACTGATGAATGTTGTTTTGGATGGGCCTTAATTTCTATTATATTATTGACGAGGTTCTTCAAAGAGACGCTCTTATTACTTTCCTCGAAGCGAAAAGATTTTCTTTCTTGTAAATTCATTCAATTATATTTTTGTTTAACATTACAATATGGAATAAAACAGATCTTATGCACCATCTCATTTGACTTATTATTAAGTCTATATATCCAAACAAAGAAATTTCCTAATGACTAAATTAATATTTCTTGGTCTTAATAATTGTAAAATGGCAAAGTAAATCTAGACTGGTGTGTATATAGGTTGCAAATCAGAGTTTCATACTTTAGCTTGTTTTTATCTGCTGCAAAACTACTTCTCATCAGTCTAAAGCATGGGGGTATTAACTTCTTTTGCTTATGGAGACGTGCGAAGTCAGATTTTTAATGCAATTGCAATCGGAAAAAATAAAGATGATGCAAAAATAATTTTATCAAAGTCTGGCAACTAAGATTCAGCAAAATATATATTCAAAAAAACAAGGTGCATGCATTTGCGTTTTCAAAACTACAAAACGAAAAGAGCTAATACACTAAACCTCAAGTTGGAATAGTTGAATAAAATTGGAATCACTAAAAATTAAAATTAAATGGCTCTGCCCTAAAATAATGATTAAGTTAATGATTTTATGAATGATTATTTTCACATTTAACTCATCAAACTTAACTATTACATTAATTTTATGAAATTCTTTGACAACGGAAAGTAAAAGCAAGAGGTTTGTAAAGTGTGCAAGAATGTGTTCCACTCAAATTACCTCAACAATCACGATAAATTATGATATGATGATATCAACATACTTGAATTGGCATAGTTAAAAATTACTGATCAACTCTTACTTTATTCGCCTTTAAAATTTTCATTGCATTATATTTTTCTTTGCATCGTATGTTAGGGACGGTTGGAATACTAAGGGCACATTTAAAATTACTCTTTTTCTCACACCTTCCTTTATGAGCGACTGGGCAATGATAGAAATAAAAGTCAATTTAGACAATCACTTTATGCACTTGTTTTCATTTTGACAGGTTTTCCATTGTATTTTCTTAGAGTGTATGCAAGAGCAACTAAGGTTCTTTGAAATGGATGAAGATATTTGTCAAGAAGTTTGTTCAAAAATCCTTGACAACTATAAAGTTGAAATGAAACATATGAGGTTGGGTGAAGAAATTAACATAACCATTGAAGACATGATGAACAGTCAAACGACTTACAATTCTTTTGAGACACTTATTCGTTGTTGGATGGACATATGTGATTGTGGAGAATTTTCTATGGAAGGTCAGTTTGTATGTAGTTTGTCAACATATTTATTTAGTGATTTCCACTTTCTATATGATTTGTATTGTTGAAAAATATTTGAATGAAAAATTTTGAGAGAAAAATTTAACGAAATAAACTTAAATTGATATAAATCATACATAAAAAAATTAACAGTGAAATAAACGTAGCTTAAGTCTTCAGTGCAAAAGATCTGCAAAAACCTTTAATGGAGTTAGCATTTGGAATTTCAACATTGTCTCTGGCAGTAAAATTGTCTCATATCATAAACATTTTTCTAGTGCATGAGAGTTGTGTTATTGAGAAGCACTTTTGAAATAGATTGCATACAAAAATGACAAAGGTAAAAAGCATTTGGAGGACATTGAGTTAAAACATGACAGAGGTTGCTCCAGATAAAAAATTTTCAGAAAACTAGGGTAGTCAGTGGGCAAAGATCGGGGAACCAAATTGCAGACTTTTTTATTATCTTGTTTTAAATACCTCTTTTGAAGGATAGTCATCAATTATTCATGTCTGCATCATAAGCTTCAATGTGCACATAATTATGGAGCAATAAAATTCGAAAATTCGAAATACCCCGGAATTTTCCGCCCAAGAGTTTGCGTATGCATTAGCAATTCATGGAATAATAAGTCAAAACAAATTTAAAGTGAATTTTGTAAACTTTAAATTGCATCACATTTTTGCAGCAGTGATATTTAAACAATCAAAATCAGAGTAAAAGGAGAACAGAAAAAATCATTTGTCATGGTAAATCTGTTTTGTTGTATTTACCGCCATGAAATAGGAATTTTAAATACAAAAAAATTTGTTTTTAAAACTGAAATTTGGTACACTACAAAATCACGTACCTTAAGTTATATACAACAATTGTAGATCAAAATTTGCTGTTTGTTTGTTAATCAATTTACGACTTAAGTGAATTCATAAATAAGTGTAATTTATAATTTTTTTAATGATTCCAACGTGTTTTCAATGAAACTTACATTAATTATTCACATCTTTCGTGCAGTGTTATGAAAGTACTTTGCATGCGTTGCTTAATATATTGGTATAGGTTTCGTAACTGGTTGGTATGTGTCGTGTTATTAGTTGCTTATTTTGTGTAATTGGTTCGTATATGTTACGTAACTGCATGGTTGTTATGTATTATAATACTAGTATTAATGGCTAGTATGTGTTGTGTAACTGGTTGGCATATATTGTGAAAACTCGTTCGTAATTTGTATCATTGGCTTAAGAAAAATTTATAGATCAATTATTTCTAATTCATGCAAATTCTAAGGGAGACTGATGACCATAAAAATTCTAATATTAACATTAAATAGAAATTGTGCTGTGTCACTTTGAATACAAAGTTTTGAAATATTACCTAAGATTTTTTATTAGAAGTATAACTAACTTTTGAGCCATATCAAGATGATGAGGGTCTAAGGTGTATAATGAAATAAGTTGTGATTTAAGTGCGTTTTTATTATAAGATTTATAAGTATGAAGTCAAAAGCTTTATCTAAATCCTTTTTACATTTAAAATTTTAGTAAATTTTCAAAATCAGGTTTTCCATCCATGCTATGAAAGAAAATTGCCAAGTAAATATCGTCGAAATAAAATTAATTCTTTCTTCATTATTTTTTATCGGAAATGATATCTGATGAAAGGAAAAATTTTCTCGTCGTTATAACTCAAACAAAATTATGACAAAATCTATATTCAATGCTCAGTCGAAAGCAACTTGTCTTATAAATATAATTGTATTTTATTTGTCTCAATTCTCTAAGTGTAATACTTTTATGTCATTTTAAGAATTGCAGTCGGAACCGTTGACAAACTGTGAAGAGAAAGTCCTAGATTGCAACGGTCATGAAAATCCTGAGAACAACGGTAATTAAAATTTTCACTTTTTTACTTAAAAAACAAAGTTAAAACATCCATTATTAGAAAAATAAATGTTTGAACCTAAGAAAAATAATGAGAATCTAGGAGTTAAGACAAAACAAGAGAGATGCGGCTCACATTATGAAGTGCCATATTTAGGTTTAGATGGATATTGTCATCAAGCTTTTTATATACCTTTTCTAGCTTAGACTTTTTAAAAACTTCAACTTTAATCTTGTTTTTTATGTCCATAAAATAGTATCAAAAACTAAAGATTTTTGAAGGAAAATATAATCTTTCTTTATTTTCAAATTTTGGTCGAACAAGAAATAAACGATTGGTCAAGTTGGAGAATTTTTGTCACCAATAAATAGAGAAAATTTCACATTATTTCCTTTTAATGTTCAATCCAAAATAACTCCATTTGGTTAATTTGACATTGGGATACTATTTTTAATTTCGAGAATGATGTTTTATATCAGTTGTCACATTTAGATTTTGCAATTTTCTTTTGATCGAAAAAACAATAAAATCTGTCTTAAAAGTTAGAACAGAGTAAAGAAAATCTGTCGTCAAAAATATGACTGTTTTGATGTATCTTACGTTGGAAATTATAAATGTTAAACACAAGAAATGTGCTTCGGCTATCAGCTTTTTAATCTTACAAGATTTGAGTTCATTATGTAGTTATGAAACTCTGTACTTCAAGTTTAAACTTTAGCAACTTTAGAATAAATTTTGCGTAAGATTCAAAAAACGACTATACGTTGACAACCTATATTTTTTACTCTGTTCCCATCTTTTAGATACACTTTATCATTTTTGCGATCATATGTCCACTAACATGCTTCAAAACGTAAAGAATTTTCAAGAAAAATTTAATCTTTCTTTAATTTTAAATTTTTGTTAACCAAGAAATAAAGCCGTCAGATTTACAATCTTAAAAAATTTGACTGCAATATTAAGTAATTTAGAAACATGTTTAGTGTTGCAAAATGTTTCTTTTACCAAATTATACAGTTGTTATCGAAATCCTGTATACATTAGGTGAATTCAAGCTTTTTGTGTGTATTTTATTTTATTCGTTGCACTCATTGAGGAGTAAGGATTCAACCTAAGAAAAAACTAAGAAGAAAGGGGTAGATGAGGCAAAACACAATAGATTTTCTTGCCATCAATTGCCAACCGTAAAAAATTTCAAAAGTTCTTTGACGTTTGAAAAAAATTATTCACTGTTGCTTTATTTACTATATGCCAACTTTAGATTCGATAGATCTTACAGTGGGAGTAGGTATTGAAAACGTTGATGAAAAGAAATTTGAAGACTTTAATGGTTGTGGAAATGCTAAATTTAACGGTAATAATAGTATTTCTTTGTCAGATTAGGTTTCAACCTTAGCAAAATGCTGCAGTTATTTGGGGTAAGACGAAAAAAATAGCTGGCACTCATGTAAAGGGTTGTATATGCAAGTTTACATGCAAATATCATGAGCTGAGTGTACACATATAGATTGATCGCATCCTAAACTTTAAATTGACCTGAGCTGGCTAATTTCTACCTTTTTATATCTTTACACAATAAGAATATAAAAAATAATATTGTAGACTTGTCGAATTGAGAAAATTGTAAAACTATTAACTTTTTAGCAAATGATTCTGGCCAGTTAGGGTAAAGTGAAATTCCCTCTTTTAACACGAAGTTTCAGATTAAGATGAATCTTTTTCAACAACCTTCTGAATTGTTATTGTCATATTTTATATTTGATTTTTTTCTAAACGCAACCCACAATGTCCAAAACATATATTTCTAACATATTTCCGTTGGATAAAATATTCTCTATTGCATATTCTTCTATTCAAGTTGCAGCCATCAGCTCGAACCCATTAGAGGTATTAAATGTTGAATCTCTGAAGCCCTCACCAGGTAACATTTGTGTTTCTTCTCTGTCATCATAATTATTTCACCTCCTACTACTTTACTTCAACATCTTGTGTTAAATTGGTGATTATTGTAATTAAGTTTTAGGTATAATCTTAACAGATTTTGATTTCATCATTAAGTAATTTATGATTATTTGATGGTTGATGAAAACTTAATTTTGCAAAATTAACATTCTGTATTCTAATCCATCGGGAATTAAAGGAATTTGTGCTACCTTTTTGTGTTTATTGTTTTTGTGTCACTCACCTCATGAAATTAATACTTTTGCCATTTTCAGAAAAAAAGTTTCCGAAATGGAAATGCACTGACGAATCAACAAAGCACAGAAAATTGTTGCAAAAGTTGACAGAATATGGACGTAATCCCAATGTCAAGATTGAAAATGTGGGCGATGTACGTGTAATTTTTTCAGACGAGTTTTGCATCGGCAAAGGAAATAATGAAACCCGTGTTTATCTTGGACTGAGAAAGGATGGTTTCGGCAAGGCAGTGAAACGAATACGTCGAGATAACTGCCTCAATGATGCACTGCAAGAAAAGAAAATTTTAAATGATTTCAACGCAAAAAAGTCGAGATATGTGGTAAATTATTACAACATAGAAGATGAAATTGGATCAGAATATGTGTATTTGATATTAGACTTATGTGAAGAATCGCTGGAGAATTTTGTGAAATCTTCTTCTCAATCTGATCTTCAAAAAGCTCTTCCTGAAATTCTAAAGCAAATTTTAAAAGGATTGGCGGATCTTCATAGCGGTGTAGAACCTATTATTCATCGTGACTTAAAGCCATCCAATGTTCTCCGAGACTCACAAAGCGAATTTCTCTTAGCTGACTTTGGTATTAGTCGAATATTAAAGAATGATTCTAAAACACATAAAAGCAAGGGTAACATGGGAACGGAGGATTGGATTGCGCCTGAATCATATTGTGAAGATAATGATTCAGTCGATAAAGGACGATACAAAAAAGAGTCTGATGTATATGTAAGTGTAGGAATGTCAACGTTTACAAATCACGCATAAATTTGATTGTGTTAAATTATTGTTTTTTGCTATCAGCCGTGTTTTTTATTATTGTAGAATGCAGGGATGGTAGCTTATTATGTTGCAACAAAAGGGAAACACCCTTTTGGAAATAAGCCTGAGAGACTGATGAACATGTTGAATGGGAAACCTGTTGGCTTGGACAAAATCAGGGATGAAACATTAAAAGACTTTCTGTCGTGGATGTTGAATCGACAACCCGAAGATAGACCATCAGCTACCAAGGCGTTAAAACACCCATTTTTTATGTCGGATGATGAGAAATTTGACTTTTTATGTAAAGTTGGAAACCAACAGCCAATAAAGACAAGAGATACCAAGTCAAGTGTAGTCAAACAATTAAATAGCAAGTATTCAAATTGGAAAAGTTTCATAGACACTGACGTATATGATTATTTAAGAACAGACGAGGTAAAGAGAAAAATGTTTAAGTATGGTCCTTCATTGACAGAATTCTTGAGACTTATTCGAAACATAGGCCAACATTGGTACGATCGACCACGGCCAAGACCCCAACCAGAACCTTTTTATAAGATTGGCGATCACAAGGCATTTTTTCTCAAGACATTCCCAAATCTCCCTGTTTGGGTGCATGCTGCTGTGAGATCAGATGAAGAATTTAAAAACTATTCAGAACTCAAGAACTTTTTCAATGAAAGCAAACCACATCAATAAGCAGTTTCAAACTGCAACATATAGTTTGTGAAAAGGCAAGTGGCCATAAAAATCAAATCAATATAATATTGTTAAAAATTTTCTTTTTAGTCAACGTAAAATATAAATATTTTTCTAATTAAGTTCGACAATGCATAAGCACATTTCTGATGAACTTAATATATACAATGCACTAACTAATCATTTACGTTTTAATTCTATTAATGACAATAATCTATTAATGTAGAAATGTACAATACGTTAATCAAATATAAAAACTGTTGTAACAATTCAAATAATTATCACAATTTATAAAAGTATTTTGCAATAGTACATTATGGCATTCTTAATGTTAAATTTGCGATACTTCTCCATTTGACAAATTAAAGAACATGTTAATTCGAACTATTTTGTTGTAAAAATTATTTGTGTAATGATAATTGCCCCTTATGGGACACCCCGTAGCTTGAGGAGTTAGTTGTTAGTTCAATAAACAAGTTTACACGACAGCTCTCGTGCTTTTTGTACTACTTTACTACATGGTGTCAGAAAATAATTTATCATGGACCACTTAAAACCTCTAGAACCTCTCATCTTAGATGAAAACACCGCAGAAAGATGGCGGAAATGGCGACAAAGATGGGACCTTTACTCGAAAGCAAGCGGTGCCACTTCAAAAGATCAAGACACGCAGTGTGCAATCTTTCTCCACATGATTGGCGAAGACGCCCTCGAGATTTACGATACATTCACCGAAGAAGAAGAAGGCAAAATCGACCCACTTATCGAGAAATTCAAAGAACACTGCTCCCCTAAGAAAAATGTCACATACTAAAGGTACAAGTTCAACACATGCTCACAAAATGGCCGACCGCTCGACGTCTTCCTCGTGCACCTACGAAATAAAGCAAAAACCTGCGAGTTCGGAGAGCTGCAAAACAGTCTGATAAGGGATCGAATCGTATGTGGAATCGACAATAATTCCGTAAGAGAACGACTCCTACGAGATAACACTCTAACCCTCGACAAAGCCATCAACACCGTCCGAGCAGCCGAGACAAGCCACGCACAAGTCAAAAACCTAGCAACACAACCACTCGAAGCAGCTGCCATCCAAACTACGAGAGCTAGCTACCAAAAGCGAAGCCCTCAACAAAAAAGAAAACCTTGTAGACGTTGTGGTACACATCACCTGATTAACCAATGTCCAGCTAACGGCCAAAAGTGCTCAAAGTGTCAAGGCAAAAACCACTACGCCAAAATATGCTTCGCTAACTCTTCCAGACATAAACTCCACGAAATCACTCAAGAAACCCCTCAAAAAACTCAAGACGGTGTTGAAAACTATGACGAAATTTTCCTCGATGAAATAAACAAGCCTAACGGAAACGAAATACTCACTAGCATTAAAGTAAACAACAAAGTCATCAGCTTCAAAATCGACACTGGCGCTCAGTGTAATATAATGCCACTCAGCGTGTTCACTTCACTAAACGACAAACCAACTCTTCACCAGACAAACACCAAAATAAAGGCCTACGGAGGAACCCAAGTACCAATTCGTGGTAAATGCTACATGAACATCGAACACAACAACAAGAAAATCCATAGCGAATTCTACGTCGTTGAAATCGACAACTCGAAGCCACTGATTGGTCTACAAACATGCCGTGACCTCGACCTTATAAGCATGAATGATGTCTGTGAAATTCACCAAACCGAACAAAACATTTTCGTAGAGTATCAAGATGTTTTCAAAGGTATTGACCTTGTCAATGGTGAATACCACATCGAAATTAAAAGTGATGCTAAACCTACAATTCATCCACCAAGAAAAGTCCCACTGAGTTTAATGCAACGCTTGAAATCAACACTAGAAAATCTCACAGAGACAGGAATTATCAGCAAAGTTTACCGAGCTACAGACTGGGTAAACAGCCTGGTCATATTAGAAAAAAGAAATGGAATGCTACGACTGTGCCTAGATCCCAAACATCTAAATCAAGCCATTAAAAGAGAGTACTACAACCCACCGTCAGCCGAAGAAATCTCAAATAAACTCAATGGCACTGAGTTGTTCACTGTAATTGACATGACAAGCTGCTACTGGCACAAGAAACTTGACGAAGAATCTTCTTACCTTTGTACATTCAACACTCCATTTGGGAGATATAAATTTAACCGGATGCCATTTGGAATCTGTTCAGCATCTGACGTCGCGCAGAAAATGGTTGATGATAATTTCTCAGATATCCCTGGTGTACTTGCAGTCTATGACGACATCATCATCGCTGCTAAAGACAAAAAAGAACATGACAAAACCCTCATCAAAGTCCTCGATCGCGCCAGAGATCGAAACATCAAGTTCAACAAAGAGAAAATTCAACTACGCTTCAAAGAAGTAAAATATCTGGGCAACATTATAAACGCCAAAGGGTTCCACCCACATCCAGAAAAAATCAATGCAATCCTAGAGATGCCCAAACCACAGAACAAGCAAGATCTACAACGTTTACTAAGTATGGTCAATTTCGTGTCACAATACATACCCAATGTGTCTGAAATTACAGCCCCACTAAGATCATTGCTTAAGAAAGATATTGCATGGATCTGGCTCGCAGAACATGATGAAGCTGTTACCAAGATAAAGGAAGCACTAACCAGCACCCTGTCCTTAAGTTCTTTGACAACGACCAGCCAATAACTCTGCAATTCGATTCATCACAAGGGGGCCTTGGAGCTTGTCTGATTCAAAACGAACACCCTGTCATCTATGCATCTAGATCTCTTAATAATGCAGAAACACAGTATGCACAAATCGAGAAAGAACTTCTCGCCATAGTATTTGCATGCGAACGCTTTAACCAATATGTTTATGGACGAGAGATCATAGCAGAAAGCGACCACAAACCACTGGAAGCAATAATGGCTAAGCCACTATGCCAAGCTCCACCCCGGATTCAACGCCTCCTAATAAGACTACAGAAGTATCAAGTAACAGTGAAATATGTTCCTGGAAAATACATGTTTATAGCTGACACTCTCTCTAGAGCCTATCTCAAGACCGACGGTGAACAACTAGACCTCAATGATGACATCGAAGTCATGGTTCACAGTTAAGTCACCAATATCCCGGCGACATCAGAGAAGATAGCTGAACTCAAAGCTGCTACCAAAGAAGATGAAACCCTTCAAACTCTAAAAGAGACAATCAAGCAAGGTTGGCCAAAACACCGACAATCAGTACCAACATGTTTCACACCCTACTGCAACGTAAGATATGAACTGAGTGAAGCCGAAGGACTCCTATTTAAAGACAACAGACTCATCATCCCATTATCCATGAGGAAAGATATGCTACAATTAATCCATGAAAGCCATCAAGGCATAGAAAAGTGCAAGAATAGAGCTAGATCAGTGATATACTGGCCAGGTATGAATAATGACATTATTACTGTTGCATCCAACTGTCCCGTTGTGCCACCTTTAGAAGCCAGAACCAAAAGGAACCCATGATACCACATGAGATACCTGAGCTCCCCTGGCAGAAAGTAGCATCTGATCTATGCGAATACCAAGGTAAAACCTACCTCGTGATTGTAGATTATTTCTCAAAGTACATCGAAGTCAGTCTGTTACCAAATAAAACTGCAAAAACTGTCATCACACACACAAAGTCAATTTTTGCACGTCATGGTATACCACAAGAACTCATATCAGACAACATGCCATTCAACAGCAGAGAATTTAGAGGGTTTGCAGACTGTCAAGAGGATCCTAAAAAAACCTCAGACCCCTATATTGGTCTCCTCGAGTACAGGAACACCCCTGTCACCGGTATGTCATATACACCATCACAACTACTAATGAGTAGAGCAACCAGGTCCAAACTACCTGTATCAAAAGAATTGCTACAACCCAAGCTAGCAGCAGATGTTACAAAAGAATTGAAACGATGCCAACAGACGCAAAAACACTATTATGACCAGAACTCCAGACCATTGTCGCCACTCACGGAGAATGAAGGTATAAGGCTACGTCAGAACAACACTTGGGTCCCAGCCCAAGTACTATATCCCGCAACAACACCTCGCTCCTACATAGTTTCAACACTGAATGGCCAAAAGTAATGACGCAACAGACGACATCTCTTGAAGACTGAGGCAACAGCCGATTTCACCACAACAGCCTTACCGGGCAAAGATGATGATAACCAGGCTGAAGCAGAAACCACTTTTGACGAACCTGGAGCATCTTCACCCACTCCTCCACTTAGAAGGTCTACAAGAACCCAAACAATACCTACTAAATACAATGACTATGTAATGTCTTTATTACAAATATTAACACTTTATAGACTGTTAAAAAAAATCTCTTATCTTCCTGGTATTCCATTGAGAGCCAAGTTATGTTTATAATTTTGTCCTATTAAAAGAAGGGGGATGTAATGATAGTTGCCCCTTATGGGACACCCCGTAGCTTGAGGAGTTAGTTGTTAGTTCAATAAACAAGTTTACACGACAGCTCTCATGCTTTTTGTATTACTTTACTACAGTTTGCGCCATTCTTTGCTGGCCCATATTGTGAAACAAAAAAAATAAAAAATAAAAATAAGAATTACTGGAAATTGCTGACACTTTACCTTTTGCCCCACGATCTCAAGAGTTAAATCCGAAATATTTTGTATTTTCCTATAAGTATATTGTTTAAGCACGAGGGTCAGTAGAGAATGAAATCACATTAATAACATTAATTATTTTTGCAGTATGGGTTTTTCTACGGACATGACAACAAATAAAAACTCTCGATAAATTATGCACCAAAAAATCACGCAAAAATTCATAAATCTTTGAACACAATAAAGTCAAAAACAATTGATAATTGATCATAACTAAAAATGCCTTGAACAAAACCTCAGGTCGTTTCACTTAACAAATATCACAGCAATTCCATCCATCTGTTGCTTCTTAACAAATGATAGTAATTAATAAATGATAGTAACTACGTGTAGTCTTTGAAAAATCGTACTTACAAGACTTACAAAGGCCTACAAAGACCACAGTAAATAAGGGAAGTCCTTTGACCTTTGATCTTTTTTGAACTCAGATGTGCATTCACTTACTTCTTTCATTCTAGTTTCATAGCACTAACAATCTGGCATATACGCACATTTTTTTTTGTTTCGTGCCTCATTCATCGAACTGTCAGCCTCTGGTCATTATTTGAAAACTTCCATCTTCAGGCTGCAGCTTCTAATCGTAAGCTCAGACAACTGTTTGACTCATAGCCTTCCTTCCAAATTTCCACCTCTTTGATAGATTTATTCAATGTTTTCTCAACAATCTTTTTCAACTTTGAGGTCACTCTTTCACACTATACAAAAGAAAATCATCTATTTTTTCCATCCTTTTACTGGTTTGCACTCTCATTAGTACCCAAATCACCCGACTATGTACTGCTTTTTGTCTTTGGCTTATCCACACGGATTCCATTTGTTGAGTCTCTTTGA